AGCTGGCCAGGTGCTGCTGTGTTCCCTCCACCTCCAGTGGTAGCTTCTCCTCCCACTCCTGCCCCTGCTGTGCTGCTTTGGGTGTGCAAGTGGGCATGGGGGTGGGGAAGCTTTAGTTGGGCAGCACCTGCTGAAGGTGAGGGGAGCAGAGCAGCACTGGGAACAGCCCTGCCAGAAGCTGTGCACGCTGGTCAGGGCCTGGCCAGTGGGTGTGGAAGGGAGCATGGTGCAGGCTGCCCTGATGGGAGTGGGTTGGGGCTCTGCCCCATGCAGAGCACCACAGAGGCAGCTGTGGGCCAAATCCAGTCAGCTGGCAGGCCGGATCCAGCCTGCAAGCCATATTTTGCCCAACCCTGCTCTAGTCCTTTGAGCTAACCCTTCCATCCCAATTCTCCTGTGCTCAGTATAAGCCACCCCTGGCCCCCTTACCCACAGTGCAGAAAGAGCTAGCTACACCTCTGTGCTTTAGGATGACAATGATAAAACAGATCTTTATCCTAAAGGACCTGGATGAGTGAATCAAATTTAAATCTTTGGGTAATAGTTGTATTTCCAAGTTCATTAGAACAATCAAAAGTATAAACAGATTATATGTTAGGGAAAACATAATTTCTGTTCTCGCAAAACGTAAGTTACTTGAAATAGAAAATGCATGGGATCTAATTTTCTTCCTTATGCATATAGTGTGTCACATGCATGAAGACTTCAGGACTGGAAGTGATACACACATAGAAATTATATAGCAACTTATTAAAAGTTGTTGTGGAATAACTTATACTGATAGGGGAGCGGGTATTGAAGAGAACCTAGAAAATGGGCTTGGAAAACTGTAGCTGCTATCTATCCCACAGAGCTCTATACTTCATGGTCTGAAACAGTGTTTACTGAAGAATATTAATCATGATGAGTGCAGTAGGATGTAAAATCTTTTCATGTAGGCTTTGGAGTTCTCTGCATGTTATTTGACCCAGATATGTGCATAAACAATTAATATACTTCAGACATGCTGTTGTCTGAGAGTACTAATCCATAGACATGATTTTAAATAATCAGCCAGTATGGTACTGACATCTCTTTACTGACAATGTGAATTATCATAACAATAAAGAGAAAATGAGATGACAGAATACAAATGTCAAGAGCATATATGCACTGTGATGAGAGTGCAAGAAATTCTGGGCTTAAGTTTTCAGAACTGCAGGATAGTCATGATGGATGTTCTTTCTAAAGAATTAACTTCTCTAACTTAGCGTATTTTTTCTGTAGCTCAGTGCAGCTTTGAAAAAGAACTCGGACAATTTTAATTCTAAAGTACATGTATATTTAATACATTTCCTTATATTTACATAAACATATTCCATCAGCTTAGTCTCCAACAATCCAGTTCTCTAGTTCATTAATTAGGCCAGGTTATTGGTTCACATCCAACCCAGGATGGTAATGACTTGAAGTTACTGATATCTGATTATTTGTTTACTCCTGCAAAATGAGGTGGTAGTTTTGAATTAAGGGTGAAGAGTCACCAAGACAAAAATAATTAATAATTAATATCCTTGTCAGTCTTGCTTCCATAAGAGCTCACCAGGACAGGATGAAGGCAGACCGCTAGGAAATTTGGGAAAGTATGTACTATTGTTTTCTATGCTGTATTTGTTCTCTGGATAACCAGGAGGTTTAGTATTACATCTGTCAACAATCTCACATGATGTGCAGCAACAGTCAAAAAATTGTTAGGACTTACAAGAGAAGGGTCTGAAAATATAATGCCATGAGATGAGCTAAATGTACCTCACCTGAAATGCTGCATCTCAAAAGAAACTAGAATAGTTTATAGGCACTGTTAGAAATATGGAAGTATTTCTGAAAAGAGATTTAAAAGATTGGGACTATCTAGTTAATTGATACGAGGCACTATGACAAGGGTATCCAAACCAATGATTACTATAGAGAAGGTAAATTGAGTGCTCCTGTGTGCGATTTGTTTTAATAATAAGAAAATGACCTGAAAGGAAAAATTAAAACACCAAATTTAAAACCAAATAAAGGAAATATTTTGTGTAGTATATCAGTAATCTGGAGAACTCGTTGCTATAAGATGTTATTGACATTAAGGATTTAAAACAATTAAAAAAATTACCTACATCAGGAGTTGAACTTCCAGTTATTTTAAATATTATAATTTTTATTGAGAAGGGATATAAACGTTCATGCCTCAGGGCACAGCTGCTCACTAAGCGAAGCCTGAATAGTAGGTTATTCCAGAATTGTATGTGGGCAGTGTCAGTGGTGGGTCTTTGCGCTTCAGAAGCATCTGGTACTAGTGATATCAGAAGGAGGATAGTAAACAATTATATTGACAAGTGGTCCGATATGCAATGATAATTCCTTTATATGTTCAAAGGCTGCTGATCAGGAGCAAACATTTATTAAAGATGGAAGCAAATTATTTATTGCATAGACATGTCAGTGTCAGTGCTTTTATTTATGTGGCAAAGTGAATATATTACCAGTCTTTAAAAAAAGATGTGTTAGCGTTCAGGTCTTTGGTGCCTCATTCTTTTCCCCCTGAAAGCTCTGTGCCCTGCTGAGAATTATTTGTAGGTCATCAGCAGGGGTCAGGCAGCAGACACTGCCTATAAGGGTGCAGCTGTTTGGAAAACAACAGCTACGTAAGTTATGTTAGCAAAGGGAAGGAATCTGTATCCTCCCCATATCCAGTAGGTGTCAGAGAACAAGTCAGGAGGGAAGGAAGTGGAAGGGAATTATACAGATCATACTCCTCATCCTCCCAGCAACAGATCAAAGGGATTCGAGTTAGGCTAGTGGATCACTGCATGCTGTACCAGGCATAGGTGCCAACTTTTATTTTTGCTGGGAGGGAGATGGTGGTGGCAAGCTAAATGACCCTCCCCCCCCTGCATGTCCAGAGCCAAGCTGAGTGAAGGGGAGGGGCAGGGGCAGATGCAGGTTGCCTGCTGTGGGGTCAGGGCTCCCTGACGTGCTACTCTCCCTCTGGGAGCCCTGCACAGCACTATGGCAAGACACCTCCTGCCTAACCTGCAGCAGTGGGGAGCACAACTCTGCACTGCTGCCCTGTGCTGTGGCTGGGTGGGCACGGGGAACCTTGCCATGGTGGCACAGCTGGCACAGGGCTCCTGGAGGGAGGGCAGCATGGTGGGGAGCCCCAAGGCTGCAGCGGGCAGCCCACATCTGCCCCTACCCTGCATACAAATTTGCGGGGCATGTGCCCCTCATGCCCCTCTCTGGAAGTATGCGCAGCAGCAGGCAGCACCCCCCACCAGCCCTCTGGACAAGCCACCCATGGCTCTGTCCTGCTCCCTGCCCCAGCCCTGGTCCCCACGTACCACCTTAGCTGTGCAGCAGCCCCAGGCCCAGCCCCTGCCCCACTCCCTCCCTCACTATGGGGGCCTCAATCTGCGCCCCCCGCCATAGACTTACCTGTAGGCAGCTAGGGGAGCTGCTCTTCACTGCAGCCTGGGGCTGTATTCCTGGCCACGTGTATGTGTGCGCATGTAGACATGCATGTGGTGCCCCCTGCATCCAGCTCCCTGCCGCCCCTTACAGGCTGGAACTCTGCCAGCCTACAAGGGGAAACCGACCGTTTCCCACATTTTTCCACAGTGAATGGAAAACCCAGATCCCTCCGATACTGGGAATCCAAGATAAATACTGTCTTAAGAGTCATGGAGCCCAGGATCAGGACTTGATGTTTCCATTTCAGGACAGTCCCACCCAGTTTCTCTTCCCAAAGGGGTCCTGCGTCTTCAGGCCCCCTCATACTCAGCAGGAGTAATGGGGAGTTTAACACTCAGAGCTGGCTGACCACCCATGTATATGCCATCTCTCTGCTCCTTTTGTTTGGTGTGATGACATTTTTTTGCAACCACTTCTTCAGGCAGCTTGGGAGATGCATATGTCTTACAGAAATTTTTCATTTTTTCTAGCTCAGCCTGATTTTTAGACCCTGGTTGATCCAGTTTGTCCATAATGAGGCTGCTCAACCTCCAGCCTGCGGCCCAAATGTGGCCTGTGGAGCCATGGTCTCCAGCCCATGAGGCTCCCCATCTGTTGCAAAATTTGGTGGCGAGAGGCGGTGGCCATAGCTATGGACACCTCCCCCAGTGCCAAATTCCTAAATCCCAGGTTGGAGCCAGGCTGGAGTCCGGCTGGCTCCACGTGGCTGGGTCTGCCCCACGGGCACTGCCCATCCAGCCTGCTGGCCAAAACAGGTTGAGCACCACTGATCTATAAGGTGCATCTAAATGCCACAGGGCTTTCTGAGGGGCAAACGGACTGGACTCTCTGCTGGCTCCCCAGCTGTGGCCAGGAGTGATGGCTGGAGCTCTTCCCCCCCCCTCGCCCAGTCGCGCGGACAGCAGCGAGGAAGGCACCAGTTTGCAGCTGGCTGTGCGCCCGCTATGCTCAGGGCCAGCCCTACGCCTCGGCATACAGGGAGGGAGGGACGAACCCGCGGAGCGGGCTGGGAGGCGCTGTGTGAGGAGCGGACGGGAGAAGCGGCCCTGAGCCCCTTCAGCTCTGGAAGGTGCTGCCAGCACTTAAGATGGCCGCCGCCCTTCCCGGCCTCGGTCGCCATGGCGGGGGCGGGCGCGGCTGCGCTGGAATGTGGGCGGGGCCTGGAGGGAGGCGATGTGGACGGGCCCGGCCGCGCCCCGCCCCCCCAAGCCGAGCTGGGCCCTGGGGCGGCGGCGGCGGCTGTGCGGACAGGGCTCCCGGCAGCGTCCCGGTCGGTTCTTGGGCCAGGAGAAGGGGACGCGGAGCTGGGGAGGGGGGACCCCCCTATAGCGCGGAGGCCTTGCCCCGCTCCCCCGCGGCGGCTGCCGTGCTCGGCCCGCCCTGCTCGCCCGGTCCCGGCTGCGATGTGGGGGGTGCTGCTTTCTTGGGCACTGGGTCTTCGCTGGCTCATTGCTCCTCTCGTGGCTCTCGCCCTTATTATTTTTGTGTTTTCTCCTTTTGCACCCGCAGGTGACTCGCCCCCATTCATTTGCCTCTTACCTGCGCTGCCGAGGCCGCTTCTTCCCGGCCCGGGGCTGGATTTGGAGGAGTCTCCCGTTTCATCTGACACCATCCTGGTGCGGCGCAGGCTGACTCCTGAGGGGTCACGTCTGAGAAGTGATGATGGTCTCCGTGTAGAAACCACCGGCGACCTCACGAGCTACTAGGGATTTTTTTCTCTGTCTTCCATTGTCACGCTGAAGGGATTTCTTTCTTTTTTTTTTTTTTTTTGGACTTTGAGATGAATGCTAATGTGCCATTGATTATCGATGAAAAAGGTCGTGCCCAGTAGTTGCCTTTAACTGTTTGAGCTGTGCGACGTTTACTTTACCCAGGGAAGAGTCTGAGACCATTTGCTTTCATCCTTGATTTCTGGTTTCCCTGGGTTATGGTAACGTTTGACTGTAAAACAAAATCGTACAAAGGGACCTTGGATTATAGCTGAGCATGGTAGGATCTTGAACTCACATTGGAAACAGAAGAGGCAAAGGAATGGCATCCAGAGAGCGGCTCTATGAACTTTGGATGCTTTATTGCAACAAGGTAATGGTTTTCTTGGTCTTCTTTCTCCCTCCCTGCAATGTGCCTGTAAACTCTTTCTATATCTTAAGCCAGTGGTTCCCAAACTGTGGGTTATGACCCCAAATGGGGTCACAACATCAGCGGATGGGGTTGCAGAGGTGGGCGGCTGCAGTTTCGGAGTGAGGGGCCATGCTGAGGAAATGGGCCATGAATGGGGTCATGCTGAGGAAAAGTGTGGGAATCACTGCCTTAGGCTGACATGCTTTTCTGTTTTCCTAGATGTCTAATATTTTGAGTGGTTTGTGAAGCAAGGTTATAGGTGACCAAAAATAGAATCACATTATTTATGACTTTGTTTCACCTCTTTATTTTTGTGTTTCATTTAACTTTTGCATGTGTAACACACATTTTAAAAGATTTGTTGTTACGGCAGCCAAGTCAAGCATTCAAAAGTTTAAAAAAATGTCTAACTACAGGGTCAGGTGTTTTTTTTTCCACAGGACCTCTGGCTCAGGTTGGCCAGTGTTCCTTCAGTTAGCAGCTGTCCAGTGCTTTGTTATATCTTATTGTTCTGTGTATGGCATTAGGCCTTGCTTACAGCGCATTATTCAAACCCTGTTTTCCCATGTTGGAGGTTGTACAGCCACTTCTCCAAGAGGTTGGACAGCCACTGGTTGGGGATGATCTAGGTGTATGTTCTACTGTGGGTATTCCCCATGCTTTACTGGTTGCTGCATGGGGGCTGGGTGGTAATTCCTTGTCTCCTTCCCCCTTCCCCCCTCCTCTTGATACTTGCAGTCAGGATTTTTTCCGAGCCTCCCTCAGAGGCACTGGGTGTTGGCTGCAGCCAAAGCTGAGGATTTTTACTGGGATATGCCAGTGCTCCTTCTGGGACCAAAGCCCAGAGGTTACTGGCTGGAGGGTCTTGCCCCTCCACTTAGGGTCAGATTGATTGCTGTATTTTGGGTCAGGAAGGAATTTTACCCCATAGTTAGATTGGTATGGACTGTGAGGGGTTTTGACTTCCTCTAGCAAAGGAAGCCTTTTACCTGGGACCTCTTGAGCATATATTGACATCTTATAGAAGTAGGATGTTTGTTGGCTGATATGGTCCCCCTGCTTTACCTGTGGCAGGTTACGGTGTTATATTTGGTGTTGTCAGGGTTGATTGTGTAGTTTTGTTAAGAGATTAGACAACGGATTTGTATAGGATAGTTTGGATAGGGATGATTCTGCCTTAAGCTGGGGGTTGTATTCGGTGACCTGTGGAGGTCTCTTCCAGCCCTACTTCTCTATGATTCTTCGGAAGATTTATTAATTTCCTTATAAGCCTTTCTGTGATGCTTGTTATTATAGTATCTGAATACTTTCAAAAAATTAACAGTTGTTCCATGTGAAGGGGTGGTATTCTCCCTATTGTTTATAGCAATTAATTTATTCAAACTACAGATCCCACTCAGTTTACTATAAGGAATACTC